TTCATCATCGTCCTCAACGTTACCAAACCAGTCGTCAAACATTTGAGAACCGGCTGGTAAGGTAGCTTTCTCCCAAGTCCACCGACTCTCGTAGGTACTTGGCGAAGAGCCTGATGGGACGTCTGATAAATCAATACTTGGAATCAGGCGAGACATATTCGGGGTAATTTGAGGAGCCATCTATTAATTATCTTAGAAACGATATACTAACGGTATAGTAACAGTATAATAACAGTAGATATATACTTACTGTTGTCGAGGGAGTAAATTGTAGACAAGTACAAGATAGATTCGGTAAATATAGAGTAAATAGTAGTAAACTATTATCGTAAGAGTAGGTAGATAGTTTGCAGATGGTTCGATAGAAGTAGATGTAGAGGAAGAAGAAAAACATGACCTGCACTCGTAATTTAAACTATGCACTCGTTCTATCTTGGCATGCGTTTTGAATGCTTAGTCAGGAGTGCGTGGAACCTCAGAACGAGTGCGCGTCAGCGCCGCGCGCGAGGGGCAGCACAGTTAGCAACATGATTCGTGGTGATGCGTCGTCGTGCTGTTCAGCGTGCCGCCCGCCACCATATACTCGACGCCACGATGGTGATCGGACTGCACGTGAGAGACTAGCGATAGTAGAGCATAGACGAGAGGCGAGCAGCACAGCGCAGAGCAGAGCAGAGCAGAGGGCGGAACAGCGTGCAGAACATACCGGCGGATGTGGTCCATGGCTCTGGAAAAGTCAATAATGTCGACAAGCGACTGTGTGCGAGAGTGGTTATGGCAAAGAGAAGGAGTGGATGGACCACCGGAGCGCAAGCCAAGTCGGATCGACTTTCAATGATAGATGTCAAGACGATCCCGAGTCGTTAGGTGCAGGCACAACCCGTCGTAGGGCAGTTCAGGTTGGGCAGCAGCAGGAGATGAATCTCGCGGCTATCGAACAGGCCCTGGTGTGGTGGTCGCTGTACGGGCCAGATCGGAAGGCAGGGGGAGCGTCGAGGCCGGCGTGGGTGGTCGAGTTACTGATGATGATGGTGATGATGGTGGTGGTGGTGATTGTGCTGGCGGTGGTGGTGGTGGTGGTGATGATGATGATGATGGTGTTGATGGAGATGGGGATGGGGAGATGTGGTGGTGGCCCGGAGGTGGTCGCCGAGTCGTCCTGTCATGTACTGGCGAGCGTGCTTCGCAGCCTGCGAGTGCATAAACTTCTGGCCGCGTGCATGGGTCGGTGGTGGTATGCAGTAGTGGTGTGTGCGGTGTGGTGTGTGCGCGCAACGACGGAAGCGGTTGAGATGAAGATGGTCGTGGTCAGCAAGGAGCACCAGGTTCCGGCCAGTGGTGGTGTTGGTGGTGTTGGTGGTAGAGGAGGAGGAGGAGGATGAGGAGCAGTGGTAAGGTGGTAGTGGTAGTGGTAGTGGCAGTGGTAGTGGTAGTGGTAGTGAAAAGGGCCACAGTTACAGTATGTAGTAGGTACAGGTCAGGTCAGTAGGTATGTACCTGTACGTACATGTACTGTCTGTAGAGGCTAATCGTACAGTAGCAACAAGTGGTCAGGTTCAGGCATGCGACAAGCACTCGCTAAACCAGTGGGCTCTGGCTGCCACCGCCCACAGGATTGAGTCAAAACGCCGCCGACTATCGCAGAGTGGAGATCTCGATCTGATGCGATCCCTGTGCCAAAGCCCTGTGCCCTGTGTTATCTCGCACTGCTAAGCTAGGAGTGTACAGTAGCACCGCGTCGGCGACAGGCACAGCACATGCCCACTCTCTCCCTCTCCCTCTCCCTTCCTTCTCCCTTCTCTCTCTCTCTCTCTCTCTGCTGGCGGCTGAGTCTGCTCCGACTACTCCCGTTGCCTGCTGCTCTCTCTCCCATCCATCTGGCATCCTGTGCCCGACTGTCATCAGTAGCCAGACTACCTGACCCTAGTTACCTACGTAGGCACTTCCTAGTACATACCTCCCGTGTGAGATGGACTCGTATCGGACGGATATGCCGCGTCGACATTCTCACTTCTGTTGCATGCCTGTGCGACACATCCTTCCTCTTGCCGAAACGGCCCATCACCAACGCCTCGTGGCGATCGGACAGATCAGCGCCCATCTCGAACGGTTCCCTGCCTCGTCTTCGCCTCGTCTCCACCACTGCGACACGCACTGTAGAGGAGGACACTGACCGGAGGAGGTCATGCAGGGCACACATGTCTCGTTTCTATTCAATCAAAAAAACCCATGCTACCGCACGCCACACCTCTCGCTCCCCATTTTTTATGTTTCCACCCCCCCCCCCCCCCGTCCTTTCATGAATGATCATGATGACGATGATGATGAAGATGATAATGCTGGTGATGCTGGTGATGATGATGATGATATGGTTAATGCCGGTCCACGAAAACCCACGGGCAAAGGATGCAGCAAGTTCATGCATGTGGCGCCCCGTGTACCCTTGTCACCGTGGATAAGCAACGTCCGCACCAAGTCGATCTAGATCAGCCAATCATGTAGCTGCCGGCGGCCGAAGAGGTTAGCAACGGAACTAGCAACGGTCTAACGGAGAGGGCAGATGATGGGAGGGCATTGACTGTATCGGATCTGGGTGTGCAGGGATACTCCTCCTTAGCCGTTCGTGATGGCTCGCTCGCCTGTCAAAAAGACTAACCCGAAGTCAGGCAGTCCAGAGCGGCAACTGGAAGCTGGAGCTACTGCCGAGTCGCCGACCATGTAATACCTACCATACCTGAGGTACAGTGGAGGTAAGGTATGTATATCAAAAACACCAAAAACCACCAATCCCACCCCGCTCCACACCAAAAAAGGTGGAAACATGAAAAAAAAAGAACCAAACAAGCGAGCGAGCGATCCCAGGGCCAAGTTCGTGCAACAACACGCACCATGCTCCGCGACATTTTTATTTCCCTGCCTTATTTTTTTCCATCTTTCCATTCCCATTCGACGACGAAGAAAGAGAAAAGTCTAAAATATGACCGAAATGCCCCACTGAGGCGTCCGCGATCGTTAGACAGCACCGAAGCAGTCCTACAGATCGGTGGCTTTTTTTTTAATGTTCCGGGGGGGATTTTTGACTTTTGTTCCACAAAACCAATCTATCTCTCTGTGAGACAGACTCTCTCGCTGGAGGCTACTGTATCTCTCCCGGATCTCCCGCCCAAAACACGTTTTTGTGAATTAAATAAAAAAAATTACCCAAGGTATCGTTGCGTTTTTCGGAATTTGGGTACCTGTACCGATTGCGGTATGTCAGATCTGAGCACAGTGGAGCTCGTATCTCTCTCACACACGATCATGATCAAGATTTGGTGTATCGTGCGAGAGAGTATCAGTGCATTGCTATGATCAGCTACAGATGTCTACTTTTTGCGCTATACAGTCTGGTATGTATGTAATAGGTAGGGTGTAGTGAGTAAGGTAAGGTAAGGTCAGGTAGAGAGGACTCCAGCCGCGAGTCTGCGAGTCTATGACTTGGCAGCAATCAGAGAGCAGGGGGAAGCGAGTGTGATGACGATCTATCATCTATCATCTATCATCTACCAGGTACCTGTAGGTAGGAGGTACCACATCGACTGTGACCAAGTGACTGGCCCATGCACGTGCGAGATGAGGATTGATAATCATAGAACAGGTAATTGGTAGGTGGTAGGAGGTAATATAGTCACGAAGCACACACTGCACACTGAGCCCTTCTGCCACGACCCGCTGTCATAATTTACCGATTATTTTGTTTGCATTAAGAGATATTTTCAAGACCTCTTACCGCCTGCTGACTGCCGCTTCTACCTCTAATAAGTGTGTGCGTGTGTCTCACGCGGCACCAACAAAACCATTTTCTGAAAAGCTGCTGCAGGGCTCTGCTTGTTTGCCCGCCCGTACATTAGGTGTACTGTACCTCACAGTAAACATACTTTCCGTCAGTTTGGTGGTTCACGACATCGGCTGAGCCTGCCCATCGGGCTTGCCGACCCTCGTCAGCGGATCTGACCACGATTTTGATACACTGTAGTCTGTACATTAGGGTAAGGTAGCGTGCCATGGGATTTTGAATCATCGTGCCCGTCGGGTGCCCGTTTACATAGTTCAGACAGGGCTTCCTGCAACAAGCGAGTAGTCCATTGATGAGACCAGCCCGACAATGTATACTTTTTGTTGTTGGTGGTAGACGTAGGCAAAAACAGGCGCCGCGGAAGCTGAATACTGCCTGTACTTGGGCTTGGGCCCGTTGGGGGAATGATGAGAGGGAGTTTCTGCCCCCCGCCGAAGTGCCAGCGGAGGAAAAGAAAAGAGCCCTAGTAGGAGGTAGGTTGCTTTTGTGCCACGTCTGTGCGAAAAAACACCATCACCCGTCATCAGCATCAGCAACCCTTGTGCGCGACAGCCTACAACAGTACAGTCAGTAGAGCCTGTAGAGCCTGTAGAGGCTAGAGGCTAGGTAGAGGGAATTATTGTACATCAGGCTACATGGATTTTCCGCTCGCCGATGTGCTACCTCCTAGGTTCATCGTTGCCTCGTTCAGTATACCCGGTCGTGCTTGCGCGTCAGAATACACCAGTTGTGGGAACTTGGGAAGTATCTCCCTCAGCCCTCTCTCTCTCTCTCTCTCTCTCTCTCTCTCTCTCTCTCTCTCTCTCTCCC